AGCCTTTTTGTAATAAAGCCGCTCCAGCTCCGCTCAAGTTTACTATACCCCACACTCTTTGCTCCCACATTAGAGAGACCCCACTCTGTGTCTGTTCCACATATGAACAAGGGGCAGCACAGTGGCTAAAGCTGTAGCTGCACTGTAAAAAGGCCTGGGTTCAATTCCCTGGCCGGGTGACCTTGCTGTGTGGAGTCCACATGTTTTCCCTGTGTCTATGTTGGTTTCTTCTCACAGTCCAAAGACATGCAGTCAGGCCAATTGGAGATGCCAAATTGCCCCTAGGTGTGAATGTGTATGTCTGTGTTTTTGCCCTGTAATGGACTGGCAACCTGTCCAGGGTGTTCCCTGCCTTCTGTCCAATAAGCATTTGGATAAGCATTTGGGCTGGAGTGATCTGCCTCTCACCATGTGTAATTTGTTGATTTGTGTTTCCATCTACATTTTGTGTAAAACTGACCATTGGCCCCTCAGTAAATCACTAAGAACTTATGCTTTATGTCAGAAACCCTTCATTCTTCTTTTAGTCAACATTGATGACATGTGAAATGCCATGCAAAAAGCTTACAGTTGTTTTGGAGAGTAGTGACAAAGATAACAGAGCATTTTGAAATAAAACATATTGATATCATGCTATAGAAGTGCTGTAACAAAAACTCCCCAGTAGATCAGGTGCAGGTTTATTAAAACCAGCCATAAACGTGATCCAGAATTCCCATCTCCCATACATGTGATTCCAATGAAACTTTGCTCTTTTAGCTTCAATGGAAGTGTGATAAGCGGTGTAGTTACGTTCTGAGATGGGGTCACATGTATAACTAGTTTGAATTTATAAGACATTCAGTTAAACCAGCTATAATTTATTTATGTTTAAAACTTTTCATATAACAATTACCATTTTATTTAAAGGCCGTTGTAGATGAAATACGGTTGTATGCAAATTTTTGGGCTCCCCTGCTCAAATTACATGTTTTGTTCATGTTTTCTTGAAATGAACTTACATATATACTACATTAGTTCCACATTCTCTACAGGGAAGACACTTCTGCACAACTGAATGCCAGTTAGTGTTTGTTTGCTAATATGTTAAACAAATAAATGAAAAGTGTGCACTAAAATTTGTATGAAAATGCATTATTTGTCATAGGCCTTCTAAATGTCCACTACAACACCAATGTTAAGCTTTTCACTAGAGAACGTCTGCTACTGAGAAGGTTATCAGTTCCGTCATCTCTCAAAAGAGCTCAGTAATGCTGAGCTAAACAACAATTTCATCACTTTGATGTATACCTACTCATGCTTTAGAAGGAACGTCAGGGTTGGCAAAGAATCCGTCTCATGCAGACCTTTACTTTTTTGAGTCCATTTTACTACATATTTATTTAAGTAGTTATTTGAGTATTTTAAAAGTAATCTTCTAAAAATCTAAAAAGAACCAGTATTCTGAATACCGCCTTTTTCAAAATTAAACATTGACTGAATTCAAATACTTCAAAGTCTGTAGTTTGGATTGTGAATATGAATTCCAAATACCTGTATTCTGTTTTCTCTACATGCTGGTTGTTTATTTGGAATAAGAGTAGGTAGACCAGGCTACTTAAGAAAATGAAACTTGCATTGAGCAATGCCATGTTAAACACCAGGGAGGTGACCATGCTGCTATATTTCTAACTTTGCCTACCAATGTTACTAAAACTTCTAGTTCATTGCATTTCAGTTTTGTTTTTTTTTTGTTTTTTTTTCTTAGAATGGTAGGTTTCTAGCTACACTGTAAAAAAAAACAAAAAAAAACAGTAAAAGGTAGCAGCATGGGTGCCAAACAAAACCCATTAATCAACAGTATGTTTTCTCAATGATGGTAAAATCAGCAAAATTACAGTTAATAAATTTCTTAAATACTTCATTTCACTGTAATTTAAGTTTCACTAGTTCAAATACACCTGCTGCCAAACTACAATTGAGAATACAGTATGCTGTAAAAAATTACGGTAAATATATCAGCAACGACTATTTAAATAAACATCTGTTAAAGGTTTTTGTGAATTTACATGAGTGAAAAGTACCAGTATTCTGAATATTGTATTCTGTCATCAGTATTCTGATGTGCTCTCAAAGCTTGTGTACATCAGCTGGCAGGAGTGTTTACAGATATCTTTAACCTCTCTCTCTCAGTTGTTCCTGTGTGCTTCAAACTGGCCATCATTGTGCCAGTTCCAAAGTCAGCCAGGGTAAATATTCTAAATGACGACTGGCACCCAGTTGCTCTGACCTCCATCACAAGCAAGTGCTTTGAGAAGTTGGTCAGAGACTTTTTCTGCTCCTCACTCCCTGCCACTCTGGACCCACTGCAGTTCACCTACAGACAAAACGGATCCACTGATGACACAATAGCCCTGACTCGTCACACTGGCCTCTCCCATCTGGGCAAAAAGAACACGTATGTGAGAATGCTGTTTGACGACTACAGCTCAGCATTCAACACCATTGTGCCCTCAAGGCTCGACATCAAGCTTCGGGATCTGGGTCTGAACAGTTCTCTGTGCAGCTGGATCCTCACCTTCCTGACGGGCAGATACCAGGTGATAAGATAGGCAACATCACCTTCTCCTCACCTGTGCTACCACACAGGTGGTAAAAAAGGCACAACAGCACCTCTTCCACCTCAGGCGGCTGAGGAGGTTTGGCTGTGTAATCTTGACTTACACAAACAGAATGACATCTTGTATATCTTCTATCCATATCTTGTATAATCTGGAAGATTTCTATATCAATTTTCTATCCCCTGTGTACCTGCATCTCATTTATTTATCTACCTCAGACTCACTAACTGCACATAGAGAAATGTGTACAGTACATATCATAGTTTTATCTCATCAAAAAGTTTTATTTAATAAATTATCACTGTGCAATACTAGTGTTTATATATATGTGTGTGTGTATGTATATATATTGTGTGTCTTTTATTTTTCATATATGTATATTTTGTCTTTAAATTCTACAAGGGGGCTATGCACCTAAGATTTTCACTCACCTTGTACCTGTGTTAATGTGATTTTGACAATAAATGTGATTTCGTTTGGATTTGATTTGACATGCACCTTTTAAGAAGTACAGAATTAAGAACAGATCAAGTCCTTGGTTTTCTGATGAAATCACGTCTTTGCTTAAGCCTGGACACTTGCTAGACAGACAGGGGACGAAGCACATTGGCTTACTTTCAGGCAGCTCAGAAGCAAGAAAAGCTAAATTCTATTATTATCTGCACATTATTTATAGCTCTCATTCAAATCCAGTCAAATTTTGAAAGGCAGTAAAATGTATTCCTCTGACTCAATTTCTCCTCATTTTGGATTTAATGATTGATGATGTCTAAAAACTGACCAAACAGACATGTGTACCTTTTACTAACGATACCCCAAACACTGATTACAAAGAGCAAACCAGACCAGATATCTGAGTTTTAAATAAGACCTCCAGATGAATAAGATAAATAAGAAAAATAAGATTCCTCCAAAATATTCTCTAATGGTGCTGTAATCATTGCATTTCTGTTTATTTCGGTTATATAAATGATGACGTTAATTTTTTTAGTAATTTTAAATGATGTCAGCTTTACTTTTTATCAGTATTTTTAACTGAAGATATCTGCATGTCCAAATATGCTGGAAAAGTCTAAACCTTTCACAGGGTGTTCGTACTTCTTCACATGACTGTATGTGATTTTCAGATAAAAATGTATGTATTTTACCATGTAGTGCATTTGTGAGTCCAGCACAACACCCCTGGTAAGCTTATCACTCATGAACAAGTCCACTACTGAGGAGACTGTTCAGTTCAATTGTCCCTCAAAGGAGTTTGCTAACACTGATTGATTTATCAGTCTACTCAGGCTTTAGCAGAGCGCAGTAACACTGAGATTGATAATTGATTACATTGATTTATCTGAATTTGACCCTCTTTTGCAATACAAACTTAAAAATGAATTGAGTAGTAGATCAGTACTTGCATTGTATAAATACAATAGTAACGCTGCACTGTTCTTTTTTTGAGTTCAATTGATTTTTTCACACCTTATCATATGTATTAACAACACACGCACAGACACAAAAAGGTCTGGCTTGATGTGTAGCTCTCCAATGCAAAATCAACATTATACTAATGAAGATATGCCAATAGTACATAATTAACAAATCCTTCACCAAGTTTAAACTGAATTCTCATTGCATACACTTCTAAAACACTCGCAAAAAATGTCAGATTGAGCCCAAAGCACAGTGTTATAAAATGTTTTTGTGCACGTTCAGTGCAATTGTACATTTACACCAGAGAGGTCTCCAAATCCCCAAATCTTACTTAGTGCAGCTCTAAGTAAACATGAACTAAGAATAAACTACATGTATTTTTCTATTTTCATTATGCCTAGAAGGCCTAAGCATTTATATAGTAGTACCATGTTTATTGAACAAACATTTAAACAACATAAAGCCAATGATGGAACAAATTATGAGAATCTTTTGATTTAGTAACTATAAGCACCTTAATAGGCAATAATTCAACTTCTCTGTAGCTGCTGATCAGCCCTGTGCAATGGAAACAATGATTCAGGTGCATTTCTTCACATTTTACAAGAAAAGAGTACCATGGTGGTATATTCATGCAACACTGTTACAGCATCTTCTTACTCAGAGAATCTTATGAGGAAATTATTTTTAGAATCCTTTTGTTTTTAATAAAGTCAAGCTTGGTGAACACATAAAAATGACAGTAGATCAGAACTTCTACTTTCCTCTTCAAAAAAGTATCACAAGAGTGCATGTTAATCAGAGAATTAAATATCAGGTTGAAACACAAGACGGAAAATGTGCACCATGAAGGAAAAGAAAGATCACGTTTCAATCAACGTGTCCTCCAACAAGAAAAATTGGGTGGGATCTGGAGTTTGTGGGAGTGTCCACCACTTTCTGGAGAGTATAAAACTGCAGCACTTCCCCCACAGCAGTACATCTAATCACCAAATCACAAGAGATTCCTCATCAAGACCTGCATCAAGAACTATCTGCAGGTATGAAAATGTTTATTCTACTTTACTTTTATTGTTATTTAACAGATTATATTTGCATTTACTTACATCAGATTTTCTTTTAGAACCTGAAAAAGAGCCATTATGGTTCGCGTGACTCGAATGTCATTGCTTTTTGTTCTCTTCTTGGCTTCATCAGCTTTTGGTAAGAGTGTCATCTTTCTTACCATCACTGTAACACTGACACTGCTGATGGAAATACCAAATATAATAAATACTATTACTCTTCACTGACAGCTTACTGTGTGAAATATACTGTAGACTGTAAACTGTAGAACAGACCACTTTAAATGATTTTTCTTCTTGTTTCAGGTGAGGCGAATAAACCTGGATCAGGTAGTGACGGCAGCTCAGCTCTTTTATTACAACATCTTGTTCTTCATTAATAAAGCCATTACAGTAAAGACCAGCTTATTAACATTATTCTTTGTCTGCTTTTCCAGAGGCTGAATTCAATGCATTAGTTAAAGGTAAAGAGATTCACAGGTTAACTGTATGAATCAAAGAAAATCAGAGAAAACTGAAGTCGTCATCATCATTATTAAATTAATGGTTGTTGATCATTACAGTACTGTCCTAAAATTCCTTCATTCTCTTAAAAAGAACAAATCAGTGAGGGACAAAAGCCAGTGGGTGTAAAGCAATTTGATCCACGATGTCCAGCTGGTTGGGTGAGGTTCAATGGACGCTGCTTCATCTACTTTTCCCGAGCTGTAGACCGCGCCACTGCTGAGGTAACATTTGATCTTATATGTTGAACCTGAATGAGGGCTTTATTTCAAAACCTCTGAATGTGCTTCTATTCTTTGCTCTCTATGGAGCAATGTGCACCACGCTTTGAATTTTTAAGCCATTCATTTCTATTGAAAAAACATCAGGTTTTCAGGTGGGTGCCACCAAAAGTGCCACACGTCCTCACAGCCAATACAGTTGTATGCAAAGGTTTGAACACCCTCATCAAATTACACGTTTTTCTTGATTTTCTAAGTGAAGAGAAATCAACACATCCTCTATAGAGAACACACTTAAATGCTCTTTTGCAAATTTTACTGTACAGTTTCTATTAATTGGCTGCGTTTTACATATTAGAGTGTGCACATTTTATGCTTTATTGTATTTTATTTCAATTTGATAAATTAAGCAGATAAAATTGGATTAAAATGTGCAAAATGTGTTCTCTGTTGATGTGTTAACTTATTTTCGACAAAAACCTGTAATTTGCCTGGGATGAATTTTGTTATATCAATATTATCTAAATTTTCTGTTTATGATTATGGTGGTCTTGGTCCCTCCAACTGCTGTCTTGTGTTTACTTAATTTTTCAATCAAATGCATTAAGCCGCTCCCCAATTTTAAATTACATAGCAACTTTCTCAAACTCAAAACTTCACAACAGTCAACAATAAACAACACAACAAACAACACACACAATTCTCAACTCAAGTGGCCGGCCCAGGAAGCTTGTACAGAGTCAATAGGAAGCCAAATCAAGTGTTTGGTTTACATTCTATTAGATGTTATAATGTGTTATGGTATCTCCCCTTTTTTTGGCTTGCATCAGCAATTCAGTGATTTTGGTCTCTTTCTCTGTTTTCTAGGCTCAGTGTTTAACTCAGGGTGCTAACCTGGTCTCAATCCACAATGAAAAAGAATATCAGCTGGTGAAGGCCCTCATCCGTGCTTATGACCCCAAAGAGAACCCTACATGGCTCGGTCTTGCCAACTGTGAGAAGGTATATAAAGTCTGGATGTGAGACAACTGTAACTCTGTCTGTAACATTAGTGAATGAAGACACAGTAACATCGGTTATTCAGGTTACTCACAGATGGTGTAATGTATATGCTTGGCAGCACAACTGAGGATACAAGGTATTAGTGTTAGTGCTTCAATGTGGTAAAATGAAAGGAAACAACAACAGAAAAATTATAGGCATATTTGTGACCCTAATTTTATATATGTACATATATGTGTTTGTGTGTGTGTGTGTGTGGTGTGATCCAATCTGGTAATTAAGAAAAACCTTATGAGATTTTAAAGCACGTTTTTAAAGCCTGTGTAACATAAGAACTTTCCTTTACAGACGGATAGCTGGTTCTGGTCTGATGGGACCAAATACGACTACAGCAAGTGGAATAAAGATGAACCCAATCATCAGAATGGAGAGTGCTGTGTGCACTTGAACTGGCGTGGTAAGTTCCAGTTAATCCAGTCTGTGTTTATGACTAATTTTCCTAATCTTGGAAAATATTCCATAATTCTTTAATAATTCTTAATTACTTAATTCACGTTTCTGTTTGTCTACAGATCAGAAGGACTGGAATGATATTCCATGTAATAGTGCATATCCCTATGTCTGCAGCAAGAAGATAGCATGCTATGAAAAACATTCCTAAAATGTCAGATACTGTTAATCTACAGTTTATGCCAATAAACACGCTGATATGATCATACATAAAGCATTAAAAAAGCAATACAAATAAAGAATTTAAAATATTAGAGTTCCATTTTTTGTCAGATACTTTTTTCTCTCTCTCTTCTTGCAAAATTTCTGTATAATTGAGTGGTTGTAATGTAAACAAAGTCATTCACAGTGCACTGATGTGAAATGGTTTACTGTGAATAAACTTACTGACTCTACTGAGTTCTTTACAGTGGTGGTGATAGGAACCAGGGATCACAATATCCACAACACACAAACAGCCATTTGTTTTTACTATCTAACACCACCAGTGAACCTACAGATGTCTTCTGAGTTTATATGTAATGTTGATAATGATTAAATAGTAGTAAATCTGAAAAAACAAAGCTTTGAACACCTTGCATATGGAAATTAAATAAAGTTTAGGCCAAAATCTCAGAAATGTCATAAAACAATGTCTCTAGCATCAGGTAACATGTTCATGACCATTTCATGTGAGGGTATGAAATCGGTTTAAATTGACTTTGGAGTGATGATAATTATTATTAATTTTGTTGAATTACAGCTTGTGGAAACGCTGTAAGACTGGATTCTGAATTAGGATCGGTGCCTTTTTTTCATTCTTATACTTTCATTTTCATCGTATAGCCTCATTTAGCTTCACATTTTAGGTGAATGTTTGGTGTATATATTAGAATGAGACTAGATGAGGGCTTAGTTTACATCATCTAAACCGCTTATCCTTCTGGGTCACGTTGGGGTGCTGGAGCCTATCCCAGCTGTCATTGGGCGGAAGGCAGGATACACCATGGACAGATTGTCAGTCCATCGCAGGGCAGACAGACAGACATACACAGTCACACACTCACACCTAGGGACAATTTAAGCATGTCCAGTTGGCCTGACTGCATGTTTTTGGACTGTGGGAGGAAACCGGAGTACCCGGAGGAAACCCACGCAGACACGGGGAGAACAGGCAAACTCCACACAGAAATGACCCTGGTCACCCAGCCAGGAATTGAACCCAGGCCATTCTTGCTGTGCGGCACCAACGCTACCCACTGCGCCACCGTGCCGCCTTGGGCTTAGTTTAGTTAACGTTAAATAATCTTGGCAATGCCACTCGTTCCTTCTCTACAACCTGGAGTAGAAGAGAATAAAATAACATAGCCCAGTCAAGATTAAATAATGTGGGATAATGTAATGATTAAGGTAACTGAGTGATTCCCTGATCTGGGTTTCATTTAGCCCTTGTGACTCTTCTGGCGTTTTTCAACACCGAATCTCTTTCAGGAACAGTAGCCACGGTTACATGCAGCCTGATAATCTGTTAAGAATCTGAACAGTAGCTCAATCAGAATAGAATGCATTCGTGTATACTCCTCAATCAGACTAGACCAGGCAGATTGAGACCATTCGGAATACAATTTGTACCCGATTGAACGAGGTGGGTATTCCTGTAATTAATCTGTTAAATAGAAGAACAATAGCCATGTAAACTCCTGTATCCGATTACATTCCCCATCAGAAAGTTGAAGTTTGTTCTGTGCATGTGCGTCACATCATAGTGAAAGTTTATACTGTTCAACATGGCGGAGCAGAAACTGGTCTGCAGAGGACACGAAGTTTATGTTTGAGCTTTAAAAGACGGCAGTGGGACGGACGTTCAGATTATGTGTCTCAGAACACAACGTCTTCCTCTCGGCCTTCTTTAATAAGTACAAGTGAAATATGTCTTCCTGAGTCTGAAGTCATTTAAAAGCAATTAAAAACACAAGAGCACCAGCTGAAAACTCAGGTAATATACTGCTGCTTTCCTCACTCTGACTGGACTCAATTACTGAAATAAGTAACAGGGTTGAGTTTTAGCATAAAGCTAGCAAATACACAAAATGTGGTTAACTAGAATGATCCGTGCTTATTTCATGAGGACATTAAAGACATTCCAATGATTTATTTAATATGTTTATATTTTATATGATTCATTTATTTTTAGTCTTTAATTTAGGAAACTCAGTTAATACAATATGAATAAAATGAAGAAAATAAGATACTGTCGTCCTTTTTTGAGGGCTTAATATTCATTCTACACTTTTCATAATATTGCAAGCAGGAAATGTTAAGTAGATTCTCAAACTAATGCAAAATAATAGGATTTTTGAAGTATGATAATGATTATAATCCGAGGTAAAGTGTGGTTACAGTTGCTGGGACAGGAAAAATGCATTTTTAAGTCCTATGGGTTGTCTTAATATTTTGTTATTTCTCTGAAACATGTTCCTGTACCTGCATTTAAAAAGTACTTTACCTAAGCCCTGTAACTGTTTATTGGTGCTTTGTGAGGTGTTTATGAACAAGGTAATAGCCATTAATAAACTAGTTATAAACCTTTCATAAAGCCTTTATAAGGGTAGTCTTACAATAAAGTGGAACCCCCTTAGCTTACACATGTATTTTTAAATGTAATATCAGTTGGACACAAAGGAGTCTCCAATCCTTGAAATCACCCAATTACTGTTTCTTTTCCAAATATTTTTTAGTAATTATTTTCATGTTGCTGTACTTAGTCTGTGTACTGTTCTCGTTAAGGTGTTAGAACCAGACTAAACAGCAGCCAAACTCTATCCACAAAAGGCTAGAAGGGCCAGGAAGCTTCTTGCTCTGACTTTATTTGCCTTGAGTATATGAATTTCGAATAACACTGAAAAAACATAAATTACAAAAAGTGACTGATGTAGTTTCCACATGTAAAGTAAATTATAAGTCTGTAACATACACAAATGAAACAGCACATGGCACCAGGACAAAGATAAGGGCTAAGGCCACAGGTAATGTAATTAATCCCAAAAATGAACTTAAACAGGACTCAATTCTTAAAAAAATATGCATATAAACAATCTACCAAACTAAAATGCTTACTCATAGACATTGCTTCAAAGAGACTGAATGAGGATGACAACAGATTAAACTGAGCTTTCATTAATTTCTGGCTGTGCTTTCCCAACACATCCTGGGTCTCTGCTTCATCTCTCTTTTAAATGAACATACTCAATATATCCACCAGGTGGCACTATATATTTGCCTAAACAAACACTTCACCTTTTGCTTTGCCTGAAAGGCAGAACATTCTGTTAGCTTTATACTGTAGCATGTCTAACATAACCTCTAATAGCGGTTATTTCCAAACGCTACCACTTCTCCTCTTATCTTAAACTTATTTCTCATGTTTCAGGTGGCACTAGGTTTTAGACTTCTGTTTTGTTTTTGTTTTTATTTGCTTTATTTATTTATTTATAAATGGCCACTGCTCTCCATTCATTAAGTTTGCTTGGAAAAGCCAATTTAGTGTTCTTCGTATTCTTATTATCTATTATCTATTATTATTATTATAATTCTACGCTTAAATTGTATAAACTTTTCATGGTCCACAGCTTTTGATGTACAAGTAAATTTTGTACAAACATTCTTCATAGCACACTTGTGCTTTTTTTTGGCTGATTTGACGTATGGTTTTCAGAAAATCATCATTCAAAGATGAAAGGTTTTTCCATGCAAAAATGGGGGCAATGTTCAAAACATTCAGTTTAAATGCCACAAGTGATGTCACGATGCACATCTCTTACATAGACGCTCATACACAGTACACTCATGCTTACAGCCTAATGCACAGCAATAACTGCAAAAAGAATGGATTTAAGGTGGCACTGCATTTAGGGTAGCACTGCATTTAATGTGACAGTGAATTTAAAGTATCAGTAAACTTAAGGTGGCAGTGAAAGTAAGGTGGCTGTAAATTTAAGATGAAATTGAATTTAAACTATCAGTAAATTTAAGGTTGCAGGAAATTTAAGGTAGCACTGAATTTAAGAGGGTAGTAGATGTAATGTAGCACTGAATTTAAGGTGGCAGTGAAATTAAGGTGGCATTGAATTTTAGATAGAAGGTAAAGTCAAGTCAGATCTGATTTATATAGCGCTTTTTACAACAGGTGTTGTCACAAAGCAGCTTTACAGATCCAGGTGTCAATGCCCTCATGAGCATCGCCAATGTCAACAGTGGCAAGGAAAAACTCTGTAAGAGCAAGAGAAAGAAACCTTGAGAGGAACCAAGACTCAAAAGAGGAACCCATCCTCCTGTGGTTGACACCAGATAGCAAACAGCATTAGTAAAAAAATATTAGAATACAAAATGAGGAAAAACAGGTGGAGCAATGGTTAATTAAATAGAAGTGAATTTATGGTACCAGTAAATTTAAGGTGGCAGTAAATTTAAAGTAGCGCTGATTTTAAGATGGCAGTAGATTTAAGGTGGCACTGAATTTAAAATGGCACTGAATTTAAAATGTAAAATTAAGGCGGCAGTAAAGTGAAGGTTACAGTGGAATGAATGTGGCAGCAAATTTAATGTGGCAGTGGATGTAAGATATCAGTAAATTAAAGAGCAAAGAATTTATGGTGGCAGAAATATTAATCTGGCAGTGGATTTAAGGTGGCAGTGGATTTAATGAGGCAGTGGAGTTATGGTGTCAGTAAATATAAGGTGGCAGTAAATTTAAAGTGGCAGTGAATTTACAACCCCATTTCCAAAAAAAGTTGGGATGCTGTGCAAAATGTAAATGAAAACAATATGCAATGATGTGCAAATCATTTAAACCCTCAATTTACTTGAAAATGTTAAAACTGAGAAATTATATTGTTATTTGAAAGATGTTTGCCCATTTTAAATTTGACGGCAGAAACATGTTCCAAAAAAGTTGGTAACAAAGACTGGTAAACTCGTGTAATGCTAAAAAAAAACACCTGGTGGTTAATTGGCAACAGGTAAAAAAATTAGACATCATGAAAAATAAATATACAAATAAACAACAAGAAACAGGAAGGGCATATGATGAAATATGTACTGTTACGAGTCTCCTTTGTTCCTTCCTCTTGCTATTGTGTTATGGGTTACCCTTTACTCTCCTGTGTGTATTTCTAGGTCCTCCCTGTCCCTAGGTGGAGCGCTTTCCAAGCTGGAGGCCCAGGTGTGCTGTGGGAGAAGTACCTTCTGGGGAACGATTTAAAAGAGGCAGGAAAATGCTGTTGTGGTCTTGTACACTGTGTATTTTCAGTCTTTGTGCTTTTGTTGGGTGAACCTATGCTGTGAATAGTTTAAAGTGGTTATGGAAAGACAACTAAGTAATGTTTGAATTTGTTAGTAGATCGTGTGTTTTTACTTGTCACCGCTGCTGGAAAGGGGTAAGTGCCTTTTTGTTTTTAGGCTTCTTTTTCTCCTGGTTTTGGGTTTGTTGGGGAGTCAGAGAAGTTTACTGTATTTTGTTTTTTTTTTTTTTTTTTTATGTTCTGGTTGATGTTTAGGGAAGTTAGATTTGGGTTGTGGAGTTGGTGTTGGGTTTTGTTTATTGTTTTGGCCTTTGCTTACCCCTGGAGAAAAAGCAGTTTGGTTGGCTTGTCAAGTGTTAGCTGTATCAACTCTGTCATCATTCTAAATATATGTAAATAGCCTGAAAGTAGACAATTGTGTGGTGTGGGTTTATTTTTGTCTCCTCAGATTCATTACACCATAGACAAACATGTAACCTGTACTAATATTACTAAGAGCAATAGTATAAACAATACTATAAGTAAAAGCACCTGGGATAAGCTGATCAGTCATGAACCAGAATGGATGGCTGTAGGAAGGAAGAAAGAGCTTTTGGTAAAGGTTTAAAATGCTAGTTTCAACCATTGAAATGGATACAGGCATATTTCTGTTGACTAACTAAACCTGTACAAGCATTCAAGCTTCTTAAATCCAGTAAAGACACTGCATCCATACCTAAAAAATACTCTTTTGTTTCTGACCGTTTCTAGACTGTGATGGTCAGTGAGGAGCAGGGTGGACAATGTACACAACTTCTTAATTGCTGTGTAAGACAAGTGTTACAAACTTGAGTAAAAGCAGAAATAATCTTGGTTGAATATTACGTGTGTAGAAGCATTCAGTCAACTTTGTGTTTGAGTACTTGCTTTTACATTTTATTAGTGTCAGAAGTAAAAGGTATAACAGAAAATATGAAATGTATATACATTTACATGTATACATTTGTAAATATGTAATGAATACTTTCTGTTAAGGAGACTTTGCTACAGACATTAACAATTAACTCTGAGAAGTGGTTCAGTCAAGCAAAAAAGTTTTTTTTGTTGTGTTTTACCCTAGAAACATAGAAACAAAGCATGGGCACAATTGTTATGGGCACCTCCCTACCTCAGAGTATTTACCAGTTTCAAAGACAGAAGGCCACCATCTCACAACATCATCTCCATCATTAAAAGTGGACAGACTCTGGCCCACAATGTACTGAAAAATGTGGAGGAGGCCACAGTTTTCTTATTCTTTGAATTTTCTGTTCCACCTTAAATTTCAATGTTTTCATTCCACGATTTGAGGTGCCAACTTCAGCTTTATGAACGATGCAATATGTTTTCTTTAAATGGTAAGAAACAGAAATATATGTGCTACAGACAGGAGAACTATTCCAAATGCACTCTGCGCTCTGTTGAGTAACCACTCCCAAAACAAAAACTTCATCGGATCCACACGATTCATGTGAATGGCCTGCCTACCATTCAAAATGGTGAATTTTGTCATAAAACGATGAGTCTTCATGTGTGATATAAGGATGCACCCCCTCAGGAGAAAACATTTTTAAAAAGTTACAATACTGTAATTTCCCAGTGGTTATTACAGTCAATCAATAATCGGTTGCAAGAGAGGGAAACAAAGACATACTCGCTGTGATGTTTTGTTAAAGTTTAAAATACTGACATCAATCAAAGACAGACATTTATTTCGGGTGATTACGAATACACTGGTAGAAAAAACTGTGAAAAAAATCAGCACCATGCTAGAGAAAGAAATGTAAATAAAGGCCGTTTTCTTACCTGAGAAATGCTGGTGGTAGATGTTGGACACGTGGAGGTTGTTACAAGAAGGGAAGATATCTGGTTAAACCTGAAAGCAGTGGCATAAATAGAAGAGAGAACAGAGATTTCACAAACATTAGTCTGATATGAGATTTTAAGTCACATAGCATTTAGTAACCAAATCAAAGTTCAGTTGAAATAAAAACTTTTTTAACTGTAACTGCAGCACCAGTCTTCTTATGGGAGGCAAATCCAGCCAAAAAAGAACTTAAAACAATAAAATGTAATGCAAACCACTTTTTGCCATTTCTTTTTCCAATCATCTGCACAAATATCCTGCCAAAATTGAAAATGAAATGAAATACCTACATTTGCAATGTAATTTTTCATATAAGCATGAGCCATTTGTGACAAAAATAAAAATAAATGTAAAACAGCTATTTGTCATTTTTGTCATTATTCTGGTATTTCATTGCCAAATCTAAAATGAAAAAGCTAATAGAGAAAAGAAAATCCAAGCTTCACTTTGCCTTTAGCTTTTCTTCATGAAATGCAGAATTCGTGTCAAAACTGAAATCAAACCCAGTGTTTACGTTCTTATTTCTTTTTCGTAGCAATCGGCTGCATATCTGACAAAATGAAAATGAAAATGCAACATGGATATGGAAAATGGATAAATCAACAGCAAAGCCATAGTTTGTGATTCAGTTTTCTGCGTGGACGCGCTTTTGGTGTCAGAATGAAAAGGCAAACGCAAACGAACATCAGTGCCACCTGCTGGAGATTTACTTGACATTTCCGACTTTTCTTTTTGGTTTTCAAACTGACCAACATGCAAATATATGTTAATTAACACTAGGCGGGGCTACGGGGTACATTTTAGGACATCCTCAGACCTAAGAGTCAGAACGGCATCATTCCTCGAGCTAAACAACTTTGAGTCTCGAGAAAAACCATCGTCATGACTCAGATCTGGTGAAACTGAACATCAGAACAAACGGTCTCCAAAAAAAAACTGTGGAAATGTTATACTGGCGTTTATATCGAGATACACAATAGTTTTCTAAGTTATATGAACCAATATATGCTCGACCAGGCTTGTGTTTGGCCTGATACCTTTTCTCTGAGGCCGTTTGGTCTAATGGCGTTTGTTCTGACGTTCAGTTTCACCAGATCTGAGTCATCACGATGTTTTTTCTCGAGACTCGAAGTTGTTTAGCTCGAGGAATGATGTCATTCTGACTCTGAGGATGTCCCAAAATGTACCCTGTGGCCCCGCCTAGTGTTAATTAACATATATTTGCATGTTGGTCAATTTGAAAACGAAAAAGAAAAATGAAAAGTAAATCTCCAGCAGGTGGCGCCTGTGTTCGTTTGCGTTTGCCTTTTCATTCTGACACTTAAAGTGTGTCCACGCCGAGAACTGAATCACAAATGGTCCCTTTTTCATTTTAATTTTGTCAGATATGCAGCCGATCGCTATAATTTTTTTTATTTTTTTTATTTAGTTTTGACATGTATTCTGCATTTCATGAAGAAAAGCCAAAGTGAAGCTTGGATTTTCTTTTCTCTATTAGCTTTTACATTTTAGATTTGGCCGTGAAAAACCAGAATAACGACTAAAATGAAATGACAAATAGCTGTTTTAAATTTATTTTTACTTTTGTCACAAATGGCCCGTGCTCATGTGAAAAATGAAATTGCAAATGTAGGTATTTCATTTCGCTTTCAATTTTGGCAGGATATTTGTGCAGATGATTGGAAAAAGAAATGGCATTTACATTTTATTGTTTTAATTTTAATTTCTTTTTTGGCTGGATTTGCCTCCCGTAGTCTTCTAAGCTCATGTGAGTGAAGCACTGTTTTCAGCTAACTCCACCCCTGGCTCAACTTTGAAAAATTCTCAAAAATGGGAGGGGCATGCTGGGAGGGGCACTGCAGTGATGTTTGGATTTGGAGGTGGGGCAGAGTGGCAGTTCTTCTCCCTACAAGTTCTCTGAACTGACCCTGATAAAAATGTTATTTTTACAGTTTGGAAAGATGTTTTCACATTTCAAGCAAGACTGGAGTGTATTATTATTACAGAGCAATGCATTACTGCTGTTAATGGAAAAAAAGGTCTTAGGGTGAAGTTACTCTTTAGTCTGCTAACGTTAGCTAACTAAGCTTGCACAGGTTAGTTAGTTAGCTAACAACTGTACGCACCAGTTTATCAAAAATGGCATATAAATCTGACAGCACTCCAAATCCAATGTGTTTTTTTTTCTTTAAAAAAAAACATGTTTCTTTTATTTTGTGAGAGCAAACATTCATCTAAAAGAGGTCACTCGCTATTCTAGCTAGCTAGCTACCACAGCAAATAATTCTGGGCTAACTGACTGTTAGCAAGTGATGCTCAATCGTCAACATATTAAGAGAATACTAACAAATTATAGATGCATTTTGAAGCCTTCTGAAGTTTCCAGAAGTTCCCGCCTCTACGGTGGAGCATATCATGCTTTTCATTAAGCAAAATATCTGACATTATTTGGAAAAAGGATGTATGTAGAACTTGCTTGCTGAACTGTTCCACAGCACAAGTGCAGTAATTAGTCATCATGGCCAATATTCATTTTGGCAAACCATCTTCAATTCCTCAAATTTTCAATAAGATTTGCATGGGGAGATTAAGTAGGCCATCAAGCCCTTTCACCTCCTGTCATGCCTCTATGGTAAATCAACCTCTTTGTGTAAATTTTGTTTTGAGTATTTTTTCTTGCCATTATTTAAAATGCTCCCACATCTGAGATTTCCCATGAATCTTTACTGTTTTAGCTTCAATGGCAGTGTGATAAGTGATGTAGTTTGTTGTGCTCTGAGGTGAGGTGACATGAATACCTAGTATGAATTTATGAGGCATTAAGTTAAACCAGCTATAATTGATACATTTCTAACATTTTCATACAACTTATTTCAAATTGCTTTTGTACTGAAAGGGCTTCGTAGATGAAATACAATTGAATGCAAAGATTTACATGTATCTGCTCTTCAAAAGCACACTTTCCCCAATGACAACAGCATCAATTAAAATTGGATAGCTTAGAGATTTACATGACAAAGACAAACAAAATAAGATGAAGAAAACACCAGCAAGCCTAAAACCCAAAGCCTTAAGCATCCTAAACTAAAGCATTCTGAAACAACGAGCATGGAAAATGCTCTTTTTTTCATTTATATCTTATCTTTTAAGATCACATTTCACAAATCACATCAGGCATTTTTATTTGTATTTGCCTTTGAAAATTGACATCCTACTCTTGCGTATTTTGAGTATCTGGAACGTCAAATTCAAATTGCATTCTCAGAAATGCTAGCTCAATGTAAAATAAATAAAGAAAATAAAAAGAAATAAACATACCCTGAAAGCTTGACTGAGGTGATGGAGGATAGTGAAATGATTGCCAAGCAGTGGTTGGAGGAGAAAATGAATCAGAATGACAGTGTTAGATTTATGATTGACCGTAGGGTTGAAATTAGTCCGGTTCGTCGCTGTTCTGTTAGTAAAGTTGTCACAGTGAGTCAAAACAGCTGCTTAGATTGTGTCATTATCGCCTGCAAGGGCTCCTTAGTGGCTCGGGCCCCTGGGCATGCATCCATAAAATCCATGGGATGATAAACGGCCTAATGAGTACTGCAAATAAACAGTTTATTGCTGCTAAAAAATTATTGCAATTTTCCATTTTTTTTTTACAGTACAATCACCCTTTGTTTTAGCTTGTAATGACAACACAAAATGATTAGCGTGTGAGTGATTCAAAAATTAGTAACGGCTTCTTTGAAAAAGTTCCTGTTAAAGCATGAGTAGATACAAATCAATGTGATTAAACAGTTGTTTATTTCAGCATAACTCAGCTCCTTTGAGGGACAATCAAAATGATATCAAACTGAATGTCTGTCTAGCTTTAGCAGTCACTCAGATAAACAGAGAAGGAAACCAAAAAGATCTGGACCATTTTACCAGATTACTTCAAACTACGATCCCATAAATAAATAAGACAAAAGACAATGAAGCATTCAGACCTCATATATTTACGAAGACTACATTATGATCTTTAAACCCAATACATTGAGATACTAATCAGCTAAATTACAAACTCCATTCCCAAATTGTTGGGACAGCAGGTAAAATGCATTAAAAAATGCTTAAAAACAGAAAGCCGTGATCTATACATCTACTTTGACCTGTATACAAAAACAGTACAAAGACAAGATATTTAATGTTTTACCTTATCAACTTAATTGTTTTTCATAAAAACACGCTCATTCTGAAATTTATGATTGATGCCTGTAACATGTTCCAAAAAGTTGGGACAGGGCCAATTTCAGACTACAAACATTGCAAAATATTACGAGAAACAAGGACATTATAAACAGGTAATGAAACCACACTTGAATATGCTTTGACATGCTTGGGGATAAAAGCAGCATTTAAGAAAGTTCTAGTCCTTTGTGAATGAGAATGGGTTGAGGCCACTAGTTTAAAAAAATGTTCTTGGCTCTCGAGTGGCGTAACCGTCTAAGCGTGTCCTCTCATCAGAGATCACGCGTTCGATCCCTGTGATACAGCCATCCGTAGCCGTGAGTTCCGATAGAGCACATTGGCCTCGCTCTCTTCTGGGTGGGTAGGATGGCCCCTCCTTCTCACCCCATCACTCAGCGCGATGCTAGTCAGCGCAGGCGTCTGTTAGCTGACGTAACAGAACTGGCGGTTGGCGCTTTCCTCCGAGCGCGTTCGGCTGTCCAGTGACGTTGCGTGAGCGGCAGCTCGAAAAGAAGCGGTGGTTGGCTTAACAGGTCTCGGAGGAAGCCTGTGTTAGCCTTCACCCTCCTAGCGTTGATAGCATCGTGTGATTGGGGGAGTCCTAACTAGAGTTCTTGATCTCCACAGTGGAGTTGATAGACAGTGGAAATATGTATTTTGGTCAAATTTTCAGATTGTTTATAAAAAACAAACATTTTTTTCTCGGTCAAAGACAAAAACGATCATCCAGATGTAGAGTTCAAAGGTCAGGCTTTCTCATTGTTTGGGGGTATTAGTGGGTAATTTGCACATCTGTGAAGGCACCACTAACTTAGGCTTTTTAATGCATTTTACCTGCTGTCCCAAAAATTTGGGAATAAATTAACCTGATCAGTATCTTAAATAATGTATTGGGTTTAAAGATCAGAACATAATCTTTGTAAATATATGAGGTCTGAATGCTTCATTGTCTTTTGTTTTATTTATTTATGGGATCACAGTTTGAAGTAATCTGGTAAAATGGTCCAGTTTTTTTTTGTTTGTTTGTTTGTTTCCTTCTCTGTTTATCTGAGTGACTGCTAAAGCCAGACAGACATTCAGTTTGATATCATTTTGATTGTCCCTCGAAGGAGCTCAGTAATGCTGAGATACACAAGTTTCATCACATTGATTTATATCTACTCATGCTTTAGCAGAAACTTCAGTTTGCAAAGAAGACATTTGCTGTGTTCCTCTTCTGTAGAGGTCTGCACAAACATCTGCAGAAAAAAAAACAGTAAAACATCTGGCAGCAGGGGTGCCAGACAAAACCAGTCAATTAACAGTAAAAATATGTTTTCGCAATAATAAAAAATGATAAAATAACAGTCTTTTAATTTCTTCCAAATTCTGTTGTTTCTTGTAATTCAACAGTTTCACTGGATCAACTAGTTTTTCTGACATACAGTATTTTACCCTGTACCAACTCTACCTTTTTTACCATTTTACCAACTATAAACAAAAACACAAATAACTGTGAATCAAAGCTAACAAGTTTGAATGAATTTACATTAATTAACAACAGCAGTGTTAAAATACAGTATATGTAATACTGGAAACCGAAAAGGACTAGTGTTGTAGTCGAGACCACTACAGATCAAGACCTGGACACATCGAGTCTGAGATAAGACCAAGACCAGGATATATCAAGTCTAGGGAGATAAGATTAAGATTTTTTTAGAACATAAAAAGAATAAAGGGAAAATACTGAAATTCATTTGGAGTACATTCATTATAATTCAGTATACCTGATATTAAAGAGCATTACAACACTGCAATATTGTTAAACAAAAACATTCCAGTCTGCCCAGTTGAGCTTTAATGGAAGGAATTAACTGGCAGCAGATTTTATTTGAACATGTACAGCAGGAGTCTAAAAACAACCCAAAACACCACACTGGACCAGAGTGTTCAAGTGGAGTGGAGTGGCAGATATTTCTGCTCCTCTCTCAAAGCCATTCTCCACTCCGCTCCGAGTTTTCTATTCCCCACTCCTTGCACCGTCTTTGCACACATGTCAGAGAAACCCCATTTCAGGTCCTCTCCATGCATGGACAAGGGGTGCGACAGTGGCTTGGTGGGCATTGCTGTTGCTTCACAGGAAGAAGGGCCTGGGTTCAGTTCCTCTGCCAGGTGATCTTGCTGTGTGGAGTTTGCATGTTCTCCCTGTGTCTGCGTGGGTTTTCTCCCACAGTCCAAAGACATGCAGTTAGATGTACTGGAGATACTAAATTAGCCCTAGGTTTGAATGTATATGTCTGTTTCTCTGGCCTGTAATGAACTGGTGACCCTGTCCAAGGGGGTTATAGCACCTTTCCCATGCTTAAGAACACTTTACAGTCTAAGAACTTGAACACATTAAACAGGAAGCTTACAATTAATAACATTACAGGAATGACATTTAAATACACAAGGAACACTGATAGCACTGAGAAAACAAATACGTCTTTAACCCCTTACACACTTCTATAACCTATGAATAGCTCAACCAGTTTGCATTGAATAATAACCCTTAGTATGTAATAAGACTGGGATTTCAAGGGGTTTCCACAGACTTAAATGAGGATAGAGAGGAGGCATTCCGAATAGACTGGGGGAGAGTGTTCCATAATTTGGGAGCTAGTCAAGTCAAGTCAAGTCATCTTTATTTATATAGCACATTTAAAAGACAACGAGTGCCGGCCAAAGTGCTGTACAGTAAGATCATATAACACACACCTATTTTAAAATAATACAATCATGTAAAAGAACCTGATGACAAGACAGAGTCGACCAAGACAAAACAGACAACTAATAGCATAATCCGCTCAGGACTCAAATGCCTGAGAGAAAAGATAGGTTTTTAAGTTGGACTTAAAAGTGTCCACTGTGGCTGATTCCCTTATAAAAAGTGGAAGATTATTCCAAAGTTTTGGAGCAGCTACAGAAAAGGCCCGATCACCTTTGAATTTCAGCTGAGAGCGAGGAACATCTAAACACAACTGGTTAGAGGAGCGTAAAACACGAGGGGTCGAGCGAAGGTGAAGGAATGTAACTTGGAGCCAGGTTAAGAAGAGCTTTAAAAACAAACAATAAAACTTTAAATTCCACCCGGTATTTTACAGGAAGCCAATGCAGTGAAGCCAGTACAGGGGTTATACTTTCCCTCTTCTTGGTACCAGTCAGGAGCCGTGCAGCTGCATTTTGGACCAGCTGCAGACGTGACAGGCTCGACTAACAGATACCCAGGTACAGTGAGTTGCAGAAGTCAACACAAGAGGAAATAAAAACATGGATAACTGTTTCCAGGTCCTTAAAAGACAGGATGCTTTTGAGCTTAGCAATGTTTCTAAGGTGATAAAAACTTCCTCTAACAACTGTGCTGACTTGTTTCTCAAAGTTTAAGTTAGTGTCGAAGATGAAACCAAGGTTCTTTACGTAGTCATGCACATTAGTAATCAAAGGTCCCAGATCATTGGCTATAACACTAACCGAGGCAGGATTCCCAAAGATAATAATGTCAGTTTTGTCTTGGTTTAACCTGAGGAAATTCTTAGACATCCAGCACTCGACATCCCTCAAACAATCAAACAAGAGATGTAAGGAACAGTTTTTGCTTGGGTTAAGTGGAAGGTATATCTGTGTGTCATCCGCATAGCAATGGTATGAGATATTGTATTTCTGGAAGACAGACCCAAGAGGGAGCATATATAGAGAAAAAAGAATAGGTCCCAGAATGGATCCCTGAGGAACACCACAAGTGATAGGTGCTGGAGAGGAAGAGAAAGATTGACCCAACCTAACAGAGAAGGTTCGATTTTCTAAATATGAGGCAAACCACTTTAATGCTACCCCCTGGATGCCAACACCATACTTCAGGCGATCTAGCAAGATGGTATGGTCGATAGTGTCAAAGGCTGCACTTAGGTCTAAAAGAATAAGAATAGCACAACTGCCAGAATCCACAGCTAGAAGTAGGTCATTTAAAACCTTAAGAAGAGCAGACTCTGTACTATGAAGGACTCTAAAACCTAACTGAAACCTGTCCTGGATGTTAAATTGGTTTAGAAAAGAACACAGTTGCTGAAATAACTTTTTCTAAGACTTTTGCCAAGAAAGGAAGCTTAGAGATTAGTCTAAAATTCCCTAAAAGTGTTGGATCTAGGCCAGGTTTTTTCAAAAGAGGCTGAACAACTGCGTGTTTAAAGGAAGAAGGGACGACACCACTGGTTAGACTGCTATTTATTATAGACTGAATGCTTGGGCCAATAGAAGGCAGAGCATCTTTAAGAAACGGCGTGGGAAATGCATCCAGGCAGCAAGTAGTTGGCTTCATATTAACGATTAGCTCAGTCAGGTCCCACAATGACACAGCCTCAAACTGACTTAAATAGGCTGGAGGTTTAAGTGAAACGGAGGGGTCAAGGACTGAAGAAACTGATTGAAACCGCAAACTGTCAATTTTGGAAATAAAAAACCTCATAAAATTATCACATATTTCAGTAGTGGCTTCAAGGGTTGGAGAGATAGTGGGATGCAGCACTGTATTTATTGTATTGAAAAGAACTTTGGGACTGTGAGAATGCCTAGCAATGATGTCGGAGAAATAATTCGCTCTGGCTGCTTTGACACCCCGTTGGTAATTTCTAGACATTCTTTAAGAATTTGATAGGAAATTTGGAGATGATCTCGCTTCCATTTCCGTTCTGCCTTCCTACACTGCTGTCTGAGTGCACGAGTATCCCTGTTTAGCCATGGCTGTGACTTCACTTTAACACTGTTAGATTTTAATGGAGCAATTTGATTGATGATGCCAGTACATGCCAAATTAAAGAGATCAGTCAGCTCGTCTGTGCTCGTACCTGAAGGTGGATTCTCAATGGCACAAACCACGGGAGAGGTAATATAGGCAACTGAAAACTGACTGGCTGTAGAGGGTGTAATGGAGCGTGTGCAGTATACAGGCAGACTGCTCTTAAGAGGAGAGCATGGAAAAGAAAGGTCGAACAAAATGGGTTTGTGATCAGACAAACAGACATCCGAAACTATCTCTACGCTGGACAATGAGAAACCAAATGACAACACCAGATCCAGAGTATGACCGTGTTCATGTGTAGGGCCAGTAACAGACTGAGTTAAACTAAAAGAGTCAATGAGTTGTAAAAAATCTCTAGCCAGGGGTTTAGAAGATCAGCATACATGGATATCAAAATCACCCAGAATCAGGACTTTATCTGAGCTGGACAGAATGACCGACAGATAATTAGAAAGCTCCTGAATGAAGTCATTGTTAGGTTTAGGAGGTCTATACACTAAAGCACAGGTTACAGGACACGACAGCTCCAGCTTGAGCAGCTGCACCTCCAAACTTGAATAGCCTCCAGCAGATAGTAAATGGCATTTAAAGTGATCTCTAAAAAGAGTATTAGGAGTAGGAGTATTAAAAAAGGCCCAGTCACTTGGGGACAGTTCAACAAGGGGGCTTAAATCACCCAGTAGTTAGCCACGTTTCAACTACAAAGAGAAAGTCCAGGCCATGGGAGATGAAGAAATCGTTCAATAGAAAGGTCTTATTTAACAGCGACCTAGCGTTGATCAGCGTACAAAGGTGGAAGCTCTCTTGCAAACACCGAAAGTAAACTGGCAGGCGCATAGTGGAGCAGGGCAGCGAGGGCTCGTGTTAGACAGGAGACTAATGTCCCGTACAGGTAGATCCAGAAATGTCAGGTAAAGTCCACAGATCCAACTCAAAAAATTTAAATCCAGGGTAAAATAAATATAGAAATAAATAAATAGATCCAAGCTTAAAACTCCACAGCTGAGTGTCCAAGATTGTAATATCAAGGCTGGATAATGTCGCACCGGTGAGCAGTGGCAGAAAGACACGAAAATGAAAAAATGCTCCCTTAAACTTCTGGGGTCCACAAACTTGCCCGCGTGTCACATTCAATGCTTCCAATATTTGGAATATTCCAATACTTTTATTTACCATTCTGTATAAGGCCTTTGTACAGTTGTATGCAAATGTTTGTGCTCTCCTGCTCAAATTACATGTTTTGTTCATAACCTACACATCCTCTACAGGGAACATACTTCTGTACAGTTTAATGCACAATCACTGTTTATTCAGTAATAAAAATTGTGCACCAAAATGTACAGAAAAACGTCATATTTGTAACAGGCCTCCTAAATGTCCACTATAACACCAATGTTAAGCTTATCACTGGAGAATGTCTACTACTGAGACGATTATCAGTTAGACTGTCCCTCAAAAGAGCTCAGTAATGCTGAGATAAACCATAGTTTCATCACATTGATTTATATCTACTCATGCTTTAGCAGAAACTTCAGTTTGCAAAGAAGACGTTTGCTGTGTTCCTCTTCTGTAGAGGTCTGATAACACATCTGTAACAAACAGTAAAGCATCTGGCAGCAGGGGTGCCAGACAAAACCAGTTAATAAACAGTGAAGTCATGTTTCATTAATATATGTGATGATAGAAATCTGTCTTTTCTTGTAATTTAACAGTTTCACTTGTTCAACTAGTTTTTTCTGACGTACAGTATTTTACCATATTAAATAGCAGTAACAACAACATCAAATAACTGTAAATCAAAGGTGACAATTTAATGAATTACATTTACATTTTAATTAACAACAGCAGAAGTAAAATACAGTGCATGTATGACTGGAATCCTAAAAGCACTAGTGTTGTAGTTGAGACCACTAGAGACCAAGACCTAAAAACATTTGAGTCCGAGTCAAGTCGAGACCTGTACATATCGAGTCTGACGTAAGACCAAGACCAGGACACATAAGTCTGTGTCTGAGTCAACACTGAGACTAAGACACTAGGACACCTGAAGTCCTAGATAAGACCAGGAGTAGCTGAGACAGAGACAAAATTAAGATTTTTTTTTCAGAATCTAAAAATAAAAAGAATAAAGGGGAAAAAATTACATTTACTTGGAGTTCACCGTACATTTTTTTTTTATCATGCAGTATACCTGATATTATACATCATCACAAAATGGCAGTAGTATTAAATGAAAACGTTTGTAACAGTGGCAGACGGAATGTTTGCAGGAGGGGCTTGAGTTAAGAGCTTTAATGCCATAAGGATGATCCAAAAACACAGTTGAAAAACAGAAACAAGAAAGTGGAAAACTTGGTCTCTAACTCTACCTTTGGCCCACTAAGCCAGGTGGTCTTCTCTAAGAGGGGCTGGTAGAAAAATGTAGAGAAAAAATGTCCATTTTTTCTTTTCCAAGAATTTTACATATATTTTGAAATTTAAGTGCATCTTAAGTCCTGTTCAAGCTGGATTAATTCACCAGAGGTGGTTCTGAAATGTAATTTGTGCGTAAATTCACACGCCAATTCGTACAAGACAAACGATCTGTGTACTTTCCCTACATTACCCCAAATATCCTGGATTGAAGGGGCACTGCAGTGGCATGGTGGTTAGTGCTGTTGCCTTACAGTGAGAAAAGCCTAGGTTCAATTCCCTGGCCAGGTGACCTTGCTGGATGGAGTTTGCATGGCCTCCCTGTGTCTGTGTGGGTTTCCTCCCTCAGTCATGCAGTCAGGCCACCTGAAGATACTAAATTGGCCCTAGGTGTGAAAGTGTATGTCTGTGTCTCCGGCCTGTGATGAACTGGTTTTTCTGCCTTCTGCCCAATGAGCGTTGGGATAGGCTTCAGCACCCCCAATGACCCAGTATGATAAGCAGCTTTTTTGCGGGTGTGTGTCTGTATTTAAACGTTTGGCTGCACAGGCTTTTTTCAGAAGGTATAGCACTTTCTGGACAAAATTTACATTAAGAGATTGATATACCAAGAAGGCATGATGGTTTTGATGAATTGTCTCACATATTATGCTGATACTTATTCCTGGCAGCATATATATGGTAAAGAGTAGCGGACCTTAAACTGAGCCCTGTTGGACACCTTTAATAACAGACACAGTAAAAGATTTATGATTCTAAATAGCTACACCATCAATCATGAAGATAAAAGGACACAGTTATCAGTATCTTCCGTAAGAGGAATACAAGATATCCTTACAGCTCATATGAGATAAAATAGTAACTTTAGAAATGCTCCAGCAGTCAACAAAAGTAATCTTGAAGTATAGTAAATAACACAAACAAAGATGAATTCTTGTTTCCCCTTGCAGGAATAAGTATCAGCATAATATGTGAGACAATTCATCAAAACCATCACGCCTTCTTGGTATATCAACCTCTTAATGTAAATTATGTGCTGAGCCATATTTTTAACATTATTTAAATTTCTCTTATACATGAGATTTCCAATGAAACTTGGCTGAAACTTTAGCTTCAATGGCAGTGTGATAAGTAATGTAGTTTGTTGAGCTCTGAGATTAGGTGACATAAATATCTAGCATGAATTTATGAAACATTCAGTTAAACCAGCTATAATTTATTCATTTCTAACACTTTTCATATAACAATTACCATTCTGTATAAGGCCTTTGTAGAATTTGTAGAAATAGTTATATGTAAATTTTCAGGCTCCATTGCTCAAATGTTTAGGTCATGTTTCCTTGAAATTAATATACATATTACATTAATTACACATCCTCTACAGAGAAAACACTTATGCACAATTTAATGCACAGTTACTGTTTATTTACCAATATGGTAAACAAATATATATAAGTATGCATTGAAATTTGTAGGAAGATGCCATATTTGTCACAGGCCTTCTAAATGTCTCTCAAAAGAGCTCAGTAATGCTGAGATGAACAACAGTTTCATCACATTGATTTATATCTTCTCCTGCTTTAGCAGGGAAGTCAGTGTTGGCAAAGAATCCATTTGTTGAGTTCCTCTTTAGTAGAGGCCTGCACTGCTGTGGCACACAACACAATATCTTGCGCCATGGCGCAGATTTTCAGTGTAACATCCAAGAGCAGGTGTTTAACAAGCCTACTGTGAGTGGGAGCAGGACAACACATATGTGTAGACACACTCTGAAAATGAATGAATAGCCAAATAAAATGATAACTATCACTTAATAATTGGCATACAAGTAATAACAGAAAATAAACTAAAAATATTGAACTCATTGTAAATAGAGGTTCTATACTACTTCTAAGTAGAAGCACCCAATCATGTGAATACTGTTAAATGCTTTCTTGTAGGCTACTGAAATGTTCAAGAAAGGCAAAGACATGACAATATAACTGACTAAAGTTGACATGTGGCAGTCATTTTCAGTCATGACTAACGCAGATGGAAAACAGATATACAGGACTACGGGCAGGAACAGGACAAAACCTTTCAATTGCAGGTGGGAGCGGGACAAACAGTGCAGATGTTGTCAGGTAGGGTGGAATTGAGTCCATTTTACTACATATTCATTTAAGTAGTTATTTAAGTATTCTAAAAGTATTATGCTAAAAATGTAAAAAGTACCAGTATTCTGAATAGTGCCTTTTCAAAATGTGGACTGAATTCAAATAATTTAAAGTCTGTGGTTTGACTTGTGAATATGAATTCCTAATACTCATATTCTGTTCACTCTCAACCCTGGTTGTTAATCAGGAAAAAGAGTAGGTAGACCAGGATGCTTAAGAAACTGAAACTGGGAAGCAATGCCCTGTTAAACAGCAGGGAGGTGACCATGCTGCTATGTTTCTAACTTTGCCTACCAAGGTTACTAAAACATCTTGTTCATTATAACATTTCAGTTTGTTTTTTTCTCATTTTCTTAGAACGGTAGGTGTTTAGCTATACTGTAAAAACATTTTAATTCAATTGTTTTTGTGAATTTACATTCCATTTCAATAAATTAACCATGGCAGTGTTAAAATAAGGTATGTGTATTACTTGAAGCCAGTAAGGACTGCATCAGCATTCCTGTTATTTTAATTCAATAAATGAGTTACTAGCTGAATACTGTAACTCTCTGATATGAAACTGTCATATTGGGTGATTTTAACCTAAATTAGCTAAACGGTGCATCTGATCACTTGAAAAAGTTATGTGAAAACCTCAACCTCTCACAACTGTTTGTTGATCCAGCTAGGCTCAGCTTGATTTAATTAATTTCATCCAATAGGAGCAATAAAAAAATGCATTTGGTATCTTTGTTCTTGGTTTTAGTGATCACTGCCCAATCACATGCATTGGGACCACTCGGATAAAAAAGAATCAGGTTGGTGGTCAGGAGAAATCTTAAATCTTATATATTTTAATGAGCAAGTCGTTTTATATGACCTTGTACTTCGATTCAGTTTTTACACATTCTAGTAAAACCTTTGTCTCTGTAATGAACACACACTTTTTAAAAACTACAGAATTCAGGACAGATCAAATGGAAAGGAAATGATTTTCTACAACGCTTTTTTTTTTATAATCCTTTCGTTTTTAATAAAGTCAAGCTTGATCAGATAAAAGATTACAGTAGATCAGAACTTTGACTTTTTTCTTCAAAAAAGTGTGTCACAAGAGTGCATGTTTATCAGAGAATTATATCTGTTTGTCTAAATATCAGGTTGGAACACAAGATGGAAAATGTGCAACATGAAGGAAACAATGTTTGCAAAGAACGATCACGTTTCAATCAACGTGTCCTCCATCAAGAGTTGGGTGGGATCTGGAGTTTGTGGGGGGTGTTCACCACTTTCTGAAGAGTATAAAACTACAGCACTTTCCCCACAGCAGTACATCTAATCACCAAATCACAAGAGATTCCTCATCAAGACCTGCATCAAGAACTATCTGCAGGTATGAAAATACTTACTCTACTTTACTTTTACTGTTATTTAAAGATTATATTTGCATTTACTTACATCAGATTTTTCTTTCAGAACCTGAAAAAGAGCCATTATGGTTCGCGTGACTCAAATGTCATTGCTTTTTGTTCTCTTCTTGGCTTCATCAGCTTTTGGTAAGAGTGTCATCTTTCTTACCATCACTGTAACACTGACACTGCTGATGGAAATACCAAATATAATAAACACTATTACTCTTCACTGACAGCTTACTGTGTGAAATATACTGTAGACTGTAAACTGTAGAACAGACCACTTTAAATGATTTTTCTTCTTGTTTCAGGTGAGGCGGATAAACCTGGATCAGGTTGTGATAGCTGTTCAGCTCTTTTATTATAACCTTTTATTCTTCATTAATAAAGCCATTACAGTAAAGACCAGCTTATTAACATTATTCTCTGTCTGCTTTTCCAGAGGCTGAATTCAATGCATTCATCAAAGGTAAAGAGATTCACAGGTTAACTTTGAGTCAGAGAAAATCAGAGAAAAATGAAATTATCATCATTATCATATTGATGGTTGTTGATCATTACAGTACTGTCCTAAAATTCCTTCATTCTCTTTAATAGAACAAATCAAGGTGGTACCAAAACCAACTGATTCACGATGTCCGGCTGGTTGGGTGAGGCATGAACAACGCTGCTTCATCTACTTTCCCCAAGCTTTGGACTGGGCCTCTGCTGAGGTGAAGTTTGATCTCTTATCCTTAATAAAGGCTTTAGGGGGAACTTGCTTCTATTCATTGTTGTCTATGGAGTGCCACACATCATCACAGCTGATAAGTCAATACAGTTGAAGCAAAGGTTTGAACACCCCTCATCAAATTACATGTTTTTGTTGATTTTCTAAGTAAGTTCTTTGCCATGGGGGAAGGTCCCTCTCAGGCCTCGTACCTGCGGTGTAGTGCTACACAAGCGACCAGCCTCATAGCTACAGTGTAACATAACTCAACTGGCCAGCTCAGGAAGCCTCATATCCAAGAAGTAGTCCTCAGCAGAAGAGAAGCAGGGAGGTCTCACTGCTGCAAAGTAGCATTGTAAAATCATGCGTAATTCAGTTTGTTTTGAATGAACACCAGCAGCCACACCGGACCCCAACTCTCACTCCCTGGACTACACTCTGATGTCATGTGATTGTGCCACTGGTGTCCAGTGAGCTTGAACTTTAGATTTGACCTCATGTACACCATGTACTTGTTTTCCAGTGATTCTGCTCTCTTTTTCTCTCTGTTTTCTAGGCTCAGTGTTTAACTCGGGGCGCTAACCTGGTCTCAATACACAATGAAAATGAATATCAGCTGGTGAAGGCTCTCATCCGTGCTTATGACCCCAAAGAGGACCCTACATGGCTCGGTCTCAACAGCTGTGAGAAGGTATATAAAGTCTTGATGTGAGACAAAAAGTAACTGTAACTCTGTAACATTAGTGAATGAAGATACAGTAACATCAGTTATTCAGGTTACTCGCAGGTGGTGTCATGTATATGTTTGGCAGCTCAACTGATGTTACAAAGATATTAGTAGTAGTGCTATAATGTGGTAAAATGAAAAGAAACAACAAAACACAAGGCCTATTTCTGACCCTAGTTATCTGTGTGTGTGTGTGTGTGTGTGTGTGTGTGTGTGTGTGTGTGTGTGTGTAATCCAATCTGGTAATTAAGAAAAACACGTTTTTAAAGCCTGTGTAACACAAGAATGTGCCTTTACAGAGGGATAGCTGGTTCTGGTCTGATGGGACCAAAGCTAACTACGCCAAGTGGAATAAAGATGAACCCAATTATGTGAATGGAGAATGCTGTGTGCACTTGAACTATGGTGGTAAGTTCCAGTTATTCCGGTCTGAGTTTATGACAAACTTCCTTAATCTTGGAAAATCATTTCAGAATTCTTAATTTTTCAATTCTTGTTTCTGTTTGTTTACAGGTCAGAAAGACTGGAATGATATTCCATGTAGTAATGTGTATCCCTTCGTCTGCAGCAAGGAGACTGCATTTAAACTCACCGAAAAACATTCTTAAAATGTCAGACACTGTTAATATACAGTTTACATTGATAAAAACACATTCATGTGATTATAAATAAATCAATAAAAAGAATTAAAAATAAAGCATTTAAAAAAATCAGAGACTTATGTTTTATGTCAGATACATTTCAAGTACACTGTTTAATTTCAAAATCTATTCTAAATATTAAATTATGTTAAGGTGTTTTTTGTGAAATCCCTTTTTCAGTATAATTCAGTGGTTGTAATGTAAAAAAAAAATCATTCAGACATGACTCTGATGTGAAATGGTTCATTGTAGAGAAACCTACTGACTGATTTTTTTACAGTGGTGGTGACAGGAACCAGGGGTCACAGTGACTACAACAAAAATATAGCCATTTTATTTATATCCAAAACCACCAGTGAATCTACACATCTTCTGAGTTTATATGCTGTGTTGATAAAGATTAAATTGTAGTAAATCTAAACATGTTGCATGTGAATTAAAATAAATTTTGGGGCAAAATCTCAGAAATGTCATAAAACAATGCTTCAGTCATCAGGTAGAATGTTAATTTAAATTTCATGTAATGACTTTCTGTGAGGGAGCTTTTGTAGACATTAAACTTTTCAGATGAAGGGGTAAGAAGAAAAACCAATGTTACAAATTATTCTTCCACATGTTGCATGCAATGACACATTTCCACCAGAGAGGTCTCCAAATCCCCAAATCTTACATCCTGCATCTTTAACCATTTAATTCTTTAAAATTGTTGTATAATTGGTGGATTTTTAAAAATTGAATACATCAGTACATAGTAAAATGTTGCATATTTCTTTTTTAAATGAAAAATATAGTTGTGTATAGGTAAGTAAATTCTCAAATGGAAAATCGGAAATAGTATAGTTCCATCAAAACCATACTTCTGCTGGCCCATTTCCAAGAAAGTTGTAAATAAAACACTGTTAGTAATGTAAATAAAAACAAAATGCAATGATGTCCAAATAATTTAAACCCTATATTTAATTGAAAATAGTACAAAGACAACATATCAAAAAAATCTATATTAAAAAAATATGCCCATTTTGAATTTGATGCCAACAACACATTCCAAAAAAGTTGGGATGGGGGCAACAAAAGGCTGGTAAAGTTGTGTAATGCTTAAAAAAACTGGTGGTTGATTGGCAACAAGTCAGTAACATGGCATAAAAAAGACCATCTCAAAGAGGCTGAGTCTTTCAGAAGTAAAGATGGAGAGGGGTTTACCACTCTGTGAAAGACTGCACGATCAAGTAGTGCAACAATTCAAGAATAACGTTTCTTAATGTAAAATAGCAAAGAACTTTTGCTTTTCATTATCTATGGTACATAATAACATTAAAAGATTCAGAGAATTTGAAGGAATCTCTGTATGCAAGGTACAAGGCAAAAAACAGTATATGCTGGCTGTGATCTTTGGGCCCTCAGACGGCACTGCATTAAAAAAAAGACACGATTCTGTTGAGGACATCACTGCAGGGGCTCACAAACACTTCTGATAGCCACTGTCTGTGAAAACAGTTCATCACTGCATCCACAAATGCAAGTTAAAACTCTGGAACGCAAAGAAGAAACTACATTAACAGAATCCAGAAACGCTGCCGCCTTCTCTGGGCCCAAGCTCATTTAGAATGGACTGAAGGGAAGTGGAAAAGTGTCCTGTGCTCTGACAAATCAACATTTGAAATTATTTTTGGAAATCATGGACACTGTGTCCTCCAGGCAAAAGACCACTCAGCTTCAAAAGCCAGTTCAAAAGCCAGTATTCATGATGGTATAGGGGTTCATTAGTGCACATGGCATGGGTGACTTGCACATCTGTGAAGGCACCCTTAATGCTGAACGATATATACATATTTTGGCAACATATGCTGCCACCCAGACGACGTCTTTTTCAGGGAAGGCCTTGATTATTTCAGCAAGAGAATGTCAAACCACATTCTGCACGTATTACAACAACATGGCATTAAAAGAGTCTGGATGCTAAACTGGCCTGCCTGCAGTCCAGACCTGTCACCACTGAAAACATTTGGTGCATTATGAAATGAAAAATATGACAAAGGACTGTTGAGCAGCTGAAATCCTATGTTAACCAAGAATGGGAAAACATTTCACTTTCAAAACTACAGCAATTGGTCTCCTCAGTTCCCAAACACTTACAGAGTGTTGTTAAAAGAAGAGATGATGAAACACAGTGGTAAACATGCCCCCATCCCAACTTCTTTGGAACATGTTGTTGACATCAAATTCAAAATGTGTGTATTTTTCAAAAAACTATAAAATTTCTCAGTTCCAACATTTGATTTGTTGTCTTTGTAGTATTTTTCTTTAAAAATATGGTTTACATGATTTGCATATCATTGCATTCTATTTTTATTTACATTCTGCACAGCATCCCAACTGTTTTGGAAATGGGGTTGTACTATTAATGTGGTAACACTTTATAATAACTCTCCTTAACATACCATTAAGTAATGATTAATAGCTGCGAACAAATGATTAGTTCATGAGAATTTGAAAATTAACAAATGTTTACAAATGACAGTTCATGTAGTTACCAATGCATGTATTCATATTTACAAATATGTTAATAAATCATTCATCAGAATTTGAAAATGAACAAATGAAAATGAACAGCTCCCCGTGCACTGCATATAGGGCTGACCACTGCTCCAGGCAAATGTGCTCACTGCCCCCTAGTGTGTGTGTTCACTAATGTGTATGTGGTGTTTTACTGCACAGATGGGTTAAATGCGGAGGTGAAATTTCCCCGTTGTGGGACTAATAAGGGTCTCTTAATCTTAATCTAATCTAATCTAGTAACTTGTATGGCATAATTGAACAGACTGAGCTGGTCAACGTATGCCATTTGTGTGGTTTTATGATCCAAAAACAATCATAACTGATATTTGAATGATCATTTTCCAACCTCTATTTATCCCTTAGAACTAATACTGTATTTGTTGTATTTGTCTTTATAATTGCTATGTGTAAAAGATTTCTGTTTTGACTGCCTTTTATTGTGACTGACCCATTCAAAAAGCACTCTGGGCTAAAACTTTCCTCATAACTTCATTGTGAAATAATGGGGCTGAACAGCTGTAGGCGAACTAGAAGATTATATTGAGTAAGTTGGCATTTGTGACATCACTGAAATGTATATTGACTTTATGGAGTGGGAATTGAATAGTACTTTTTGAAGGTTTAACAGTGTTTGCATACTACAATAAATTCTTCTGTTTCAAAAAAAGTAAGGGAAATTAAGTTTCCTAGACCCTGCTCTCTGTTTTCTTCAATGTTGAGATCAGATTGTTGAGTTTGGAAATTTTGTGTATGAGACCTGCATCCAAACCCCCCATAACAGAAGACCCAGTCCAGCTAGAGATGTGACAGACTATTTATTCCTAAAGCTATTTTTCTTCTCTCCTACTTACTTGCAATTTAATGCAAGAACAACAGTTCCAGTACCATTGACACAATTTCAAATGTATATAGGTGTTATGAAGAAAGTTAGAGGAAAGTTGCTGATCCTCTTCCGAGGAAAGCCAACTGCAAAGAGGACTTTGAAATCAGTGAACTGGCTCCAAAAAAAGACTACTAAAAAAAAGTGAAATGTATGAAGCATCATCATAAAGTGAAACTGACACGTGCCAGCAAAGCAGATCATTTTTAATGGTTTGTTTTTCCTTCTATTAATTAATAATTTAGTGGATGACAACAATACCGTTTTTACTATACACACTGTTGTAGAATTGAAGGGACTCATGGATGACTACAATAGTGGTTTTTGTGTTTGACATCATATAGGACATGTAGGTGGAGCACACACAGAGGAAGACCCACACGAAAGTCTGTGAGATCTGGGTCATTGTTTGAGAGGTCCAAGGCCAGCCTGTTGTCTTGGATGACATTTATTTAAAGGTATTAAAAATGATCACCTAACCAATTGTATAACCGGGTAATCAGGTTAAAGCAATGGTTTACAGTAAAACGACCATGCCATGAACCATGAACAGCCATGGCTTTGTTCAATTCCATCAGCAGCACCTGATTTAATTTAATGAAGAATTGATCAGATAAACTAGTATTGGATGGCAACTGTAAAAAGTAAACTTTCCTGAGGAGAGGGCATGGTTAAGCTACCACATACAGAACAATCATAGTGGAGTGGTTATTTGTATTTATTCTAAAGTTTGATAGTCCAGAATAGGTTCATGTTTTATATGAATTAATTATACAATGTAAAAGAATATTTAGTTATAAATGGCAAAAAAGGCATATACTTGCCCTTTGGATGGAATTGCTGGAAGCACCCAGACTCTCTCCAAGATGGCCAGGAAAATAAGGAACATATGCATCAGCCCAATCGCATCATACAGTAGACGGAAGGGACAGATTGTTGGAAGTCACAGGGAGTTTGTAATGCTGTATGTAATCCATTGTATAATGCTTATTCTGTGCTTTTATGCATTTATTATGTGTTAGTAAAGTTAGATATGTTTTCGACTTTACAATAAGGGTCACAAAGAACATTAAATAATTATTAACAATGCTTAATTAATGCCTTTAAAGAGAATGAATTCAGCGTTTGTTATGTACAAAATTGAAAACTAATACATTAAAATTAATGTGGTAACATTACATCAACATTACATGGTGAGAACAGAAAAAGTAAGCCTCTACATGAAGACCATGGAGTCAGTCCACAGATCTCAGCCTTTACCAAGAAGTCTTCATTTGGTTAGAACAGGGCAAGAATACCTCAGGAGCAGTTTTGGCAACTGAAGAATTATACATCCGACAGTCAGCCATCTTTATCAAATATTTCAGTTCTTACCTTAATTAATATTTAAATACTTACTGAATGTTAACATGGGGCTTTAGTGAATGGCTACGTAATATTTTAATGCTAATGTTTGTTCTAATATTTTTTGATGGAAGATCGAATAACATTACTTAAAATGTTCATTGATGAAAGGTTATTGACAAAGAATGTATTTGATACTTTGACATATAAAAATATGATTTGTACAAAAAAATGGTTAAATAGTGATTAGTTCGGTAACACTTTCTATGAATGTCACCTTTGT